CCCCCCCCCCCCCCCCCCCCTGTGGTAACCTTGAGGGGTTTGCGGTAAGCAGTTTTGGGGTCGAAAGGAAAACTCGTGTGGAGGAGCGTGGAAAGAGATCTTGGGAACGGGAAGCATAAGAGGTAGCAGTGAAGGGGCTGGCAGAGGTGAGAGCCTGTTGAAATTGGTTTGGATCCATGGCGGCGACGATCCACTGGTCGTAGATCGTCCAACCCGGATCGGCCTCGAATTGCCTACAGCGGAGGACGCATCAGGAGCAGGAGCAGGAGCAGGAGCAGGAGCAGGAGCAGCAGCAGCGGCAGCAGTAGCAGCAGGAGCGGCGGCAGCAGCAGCAGCAGGAGCGGCAGCAGCAGCAGCAGCAGCAGAAGTAGTCGCACGTACCAAGGGGAGGGAAACATCGGAAAACGTGTGCACGACACACACACGTGGTCCCGGAGAGAGGTTTTCGAGAGATCCAAACAAAAGCTCGATCGGAGATCCTTTAGCCTCGCTTCTGGACGACTCACCGGCAGGAGCAGCCCCACGTGGCGAGAGAAACACGAAGGAACAGGTAGCGGCAGCAGCGGCAGTAGCCGCAGCAGCGGGGGGAAGCAGCAGTCAAAGGGGCCGAAGGGAAAGCAGCTTCGAGACACGCGTGTTGGGAGCACACACACACGTGGAGTCCTGAACGGAACTGTGCCCGCGCTCCCGTGATCAATCGGAGATCGAGCAAGGCGGTCGCTAGGTCCAGCAGCAGAAAGAGCCAAGGTACCGAGAGCAGGATTGGGGGCATAAAGCGTCTTGAAGCAAGCTGAAAACAAAACATAAGATTGACAGTAATCAAAACATAAGATGGCAGATGATTTCTGAGTAAAAACCTTTCAACGTACGTCGACGGCATGCACATCTTCCACGCGCAGTTGTTGTCGTTGACTGTCTAAACGTCGTTTTTTGAAGTGCGAAGGAAAGGGCACCTGGCTCTTGCAGTCGCAGGTGGCGAGGACGTAGGAACAGGGGGTCGCAGTGTCGGGGGTCTGGGGGAACATGGGCTTGAATGGGGGGTGCCTCAGAAAGAGCAAGACGGCGGGTGTTTCTCTCTTGGTGTGCCCGGTGGCCGTACTGATCAGCAATGCCGCACAGACTTTTGCGCGCCGAAATATGCGTGCGACAGCTTCAACGTAACCATGTGGAAAGCGGATTGCTGTTCGATAAGCTGTCGGGGGTACCAAGGAAGACGGGGCCGAGTTTCGTTTGATTGGGGTGGATGAGGTTGGGGTTTTGTTCGTTTTTCGCTATTTTAGGTTCATGCCTAGAGTTCAGCTGTAGTGTTCCAACGAAAGATTGGTTGACTTCCAGGCAAACGTTGTTCGCGATTGGGCATCGAGTTCGTTTTACCTTGGCATGAAGGACGATACATGACGATCGATTTTGGTGTATGTCTGCATTTATCTGGAGTTGTCGGAGGGCAAACGAAACAATAGTAATTAGCAAACAGACAAGGGCATCCTAGTGAGAGGACCTCCAAATATTTTCACGCGCGAGAATCGGCCGGCCCTTCTACAGAAGGCTCTGGTTTTGTAGCTGGCGGTTTAGGGCCGTCGCGTCAAGCGTCGTCGAAAAATTAAGACAGAAACCGTGCAAGATGCCTGAAGGATTCGTCTTACATGCTCCACGGTAACCCTCCTGACAGTACTGACTGACATCCGTCCCCCCGATGCAAGCTTCTTCCTGGTAGCACTTCAGGACGTTTTGACTCTCGGCAGACGTGCGGTAGTAGCCACGAAGAAGGTTGAGCTCTGGAAGTGTCACGCCTCCGTCTCCAGAAGTGTCGACCCCCGTCATAGCCTGAATGGTACGGAGGAAAGTAACGAATGGACCGATCGCATCCGCAAGAGTTGTTGCTTGCGCCTGCGGTTGCATACCTTACCGGACAAGTCGATCGATGGTTGAGAAGGGAGGAAACGCGCGACCGCCCGCTTGTCCGGGCAAAAGTATCGGGGTACGGTGTCAGAGTGGTATCGAAAACCTAGGGTGAAAAAGCAAATCAAGGTTTGCACCACAACTGTCAAGCGATGCCTAAGAAGTTGAGGAGGTGGCGGCAGCCAAAGTGCTTATGGCCGCATTTTCAACATTTCCGAGGCATTTTCCACTGCCTCTCCGGTTGAAATCACCTTCCACCAAGGTACCTCACCGCCACCACCGGTCAGATCAGACACAACTTACCGTTTCGCAGATCGGTACATGAGCGTCGTTGACCACGACAACGCTTCCCGGGTTATCTTCACACGAGGCTGCGCAGCTTGAGCAGACCACGCCAAAACGGCAGGTGCCAGAAACCTGCCAAGCGAACCAAAACGCAACCAAGAGCCCAGGCGTGTTGAAGAGGAATTTGCGGCCTTGCTACAATAATCTTCTTCTGCTACCCAACAAGTAGGCCATTGAAAAAGTTACCGAGAGGTTCCCTTGGGGAACTCCAGGGTAGCTTTTTCATGCTGATGTAAGAGTGTGCTTTGCTTCGTGACAAAATACACATGAATGGAAAAATAGCTGTCCAGCGTATCGGATCAGTGGGGGGGACGGGAGATGCCGGTGATTGGCGCCGGCGGCAAACCGCGCTTGCTGGAAAAATTGCCATCAAACCGCAGATAGGTTAGTCATCAATCAGCAAGCGAAACAATTCTCTGCGACGAGGCCAGGGAGGACGATACGGTGGCGCACTGCATCGATGCAAGTACTGTGCTTCGCACGGCTCTCAAACCCAGGAGGTAGACAATGCCAATCCACCGGCTGCCAAGGGGAGGACGGGGTCGTATTATCACCTCGTCTTCACCGATCTCGTACTCATATCCATACTGTCCAGAAGAGCAGTAGTATGTGTTGGACTCGAAGGTGGTGTCGGTGATGTTCCCAGCAATCCCGAGGCTCTGAACAGCCAGACCAGCATCTCGAGCTCTGTTGCCGACGAAGGTGCTGCGGTCAAGCTCCACCAGAACTCCGGAGTGGAGATAAGCCCCGCCTGACCCCACTATCGTGAAAGCAACAACAACAACATCGGCTGTCAAGATTCGAGGGGAGGGGGGGAAGCGAGTAGGCTACACATGTAGAGTATCGCAAAAAAGTACCTAAGCAGTAGCGCTCAAGCCACACTTGGGCGGGAACGAATCTTCGCCGTGTCACCGTTCACCTGTTGTTCGAGAGCTTTTTGTGGACCTTCGTAGGCTCATACCTGCCAAATTGTCCTCAAACCGACAGTCCTTGATCCCGTCGTACCCTGCGGCACTGTACATGGCGCCCCCGTCGACAGCGCTGTTCCCTTGAAATACGCACATGGTCGCATTCACAGACCCCGAGCCGGGATCGTCGTCGTCGAACAACGATCCAGAGGAGAACAAAGCCAGGCCTGATGGCGGTTGCCATTGATTCGCCCAACGAGAGCACGGACGGAGGGGGTGTATCTGAAAGAGAGTGCGGTTGACGAAATCAGTAACTCTTGAAACATCCGAGAGATGAAAAAGACAATTGTTACAGCACGTGGTTTCCACGGCATCGAATTATTGACAAGAAGCTGAGCTTTCGATTTCGTCAAGACCTGAATCGCTATGTGCACCGCCAGAGAAACGTGTGGCATCCCAATAAATGGCTCGTGGACAATAGAATACGCCACCGACCTCCGCCCCACAAGGCCTCGTTTGCAGAAAAAACGGACCCGTTGAAAGCCGCCAAAGAGGATGAACAGTATACACCGCCCCCTGCTCCGCCCTTGGCCTCGTTGCCATCAAATAAGGTCCCTTCTTCGGTGACAACTGTCGAGCCTCGTACAACGATGGCACCTTGCGCAACAAACGGGCAAGAGTTGATGAGGCAGTTCCGGCTCGACTTGTCTTGTCTTTGCCACGAAAAACATGCACGTCTAGCTTTTTCGGGTAGGACAAACACAGGCTCTTGTTGTACCCGAAAAGGGGTGCGTGCCGTCACCGGCCAACGACCTTCGGGAAGGGGTACTAGACGCTACTCCTCGTTCCCAAGAACTAGGCGCAGAGCAGTTGCAGTGATGCAGGTATACGCATTTTTTCACCCTCGGCAACAGCAAATGTCGGGAAAACTCCACGAACCCGAATGTTGGCAAAGTATGTTTCTGTTTGTAACAGGGGTCACTTACCATTGCATTCCACCCCCTACTGAAGTGCATGCATCTCGAGGCCTTGACAGCCGACAAACCGAGGCGGTGGATTTTACCCACGCCACAAAGGTTGTCGCACCTGCTGGGACAAATTGCTTAAGTTCTCCCAACAAAGCGTAAGGTACTCGATGAGGTCATCTCTAAATATCCTCGGCCTAGCATGATCAACTTTGAAACAAAAGCAGGTTTTTGTACCGTATCGTCGGAGTTTCCCCCCCTCCCCAGTTACCCCCCCCCCCTCCCCCATCCACCTGTTCTCTAAATCGGAATATAGGTTGGCGTTGGGTGGCACCGCGTCGTAAAATAGCCATCGAACCCTAGACATGAAATAATTGTTCTTACCGACTTTTCTTTTGCCCATTCCATAACACAAACCTGATCCAGACATGAAATAACGGAACTTACCAACCTTTGTTTATCATACCATAACACGAAGCTGGCAATAGACATGAAACTACTAAACTAATCCATTTTTATTTCCCATTCCTGAAACAAAAGAATAAAAATAGACATGAAACTACCCATCTAACCAACTTTAAACACATCATATTAATAGTATAAAAAAGACATGAAACTACAAAACTAACCCATTGGTATTTCCCATTCCTGAAACCAAAGAATACAAATAGACATGAAATTACCCATCCAACCAATTTTTACCATACCAAAAGTATAAAAATAGACATGAAGCTACTACCCTAACGAATTTTAATTCCCATTCCTGAAACAAAAGAATACAAATAGACATGAAATACCCATCTAACCAATTTTTTACCATAACTATGAGTATAAAACTAGAATCCCCCCCCCCCGCC